GTGAGCAAGGTGAGCAGTGACTGCAGGACAGAACTAGATGCTCTTCTGCAGGTGGTGTACTTTTGGTGAATCTGTGTACATACTTGGCTTTTTGTTTTACAGGCAGTGCACCGACTTGTAACGTGCAGTCCAACGTGACGGGGACCCTGCCTGTAAGAGGTCACGGTCAAGGGGTGTCAGACAGAAACTGCCATGGGAGCAGCACACTCTTGGACAGGATCTCAGTACTGGCATTTGCCTCTGGGTTTTTTTGCAGGAGATGTACGCAGCCTCACAGGGCTGGAGCCAACTCACAATGAGGTGACGGACATGGTTTGGTCCTCTTGAGCTGTCCTTGTCTGCAATCTGTGAGTATTAAAAGGATCAGCAACGAAGCACTGAGCTTTAGTGATCACAGGTGCCATCCGGCTAACCTTTGGGAGCAGATGAGCATTGGAGGTGAGTTGGGGAGGCAGCAGGAGGAGCAGGGATCCACGGCAGCTTCAGAAATGCCCTCTGATTTTGTCTCTCGCTCGCTCAGGTGTCCTGGAAGATGACAGCACATTGTCTAACTCCAGTCAGAGCCAGTGACCCGAGGACCCGCCTCAGTGACAGTGAGTAGAGGGATCTTTGGGGCTGGGGCCACGTGCCACACTACTCAGACATTGTGTCCGGTTTTCTTTCTCGTAGTTGACTCCGAGTGATCTCACAACGGCAGGAACCTGTGAGCCAGCCCAGGTGCCCCTCCTTTGCATCAGAGATGGATTCACATCCCCGGCTCTCAGAAAGATAAGTGCAGGGCAACGACCCAGAGAGGGGTTGGGAGTTGGTCCAAGCATGTGCATTTCCCAGAGGGATTTTTGAAATCAGTACAGTGCAATGGGTATCCTATAACAGGATATTTGGCCGCATCAAAGGAAGGGCTTACTTTGTATCATTGGATTCCCGTGTGCAGGGCAGAGCAGTTCCAGTCTGTGTCACGTCCTTTGTCTCGTCCGTGTTTTGTGTCCTTAGGGTTTTTGCATCTTGCCCTCGAGGGGCTTATGAGAAGCATCAAGCACCATCCTTAGGTTCTTGAAGGTCTTCTCTGTGTAGCCGAGTACCCGAGTTGTCAGTCGCTTCCTTTGCAGGTTCAGGCCTTCTTTGGAATCCCATCTCTGACTTTTTCAGTCAGACCTCTCTTAAGGCCTCATTCCAGGCCGTATCATCAGCGGTGCTCCGCAGCCATCCATCCTAAAGCAGGAGGACTCCTTTTCCACATCATTCCATTCTTAGCTTCCGAACGCAGCAAGGTCATGCATCCATCTTCAGGGTTTTGATGGACCCTTCTTCTGACCGGTCATCTCGTTAGTGTCTTTATTTTTCAGGATCCTTTGAGCCCAGTCACATTATCACAGTAGTCCCGTAGGTCACAGTGTTGCACAGCATCTCCATTCTTGCAGTCAAATCTTGTCAGAGCGAGGTTTGTCTCATATGTGTGACAGGGCCTGTGTTGTCAGGGGTGCGGGATGTCTCACTGGGGGTCAGCCTGGAGCTGCTCTGCCCTGCTACGTGGATCAGTGGGTAGATGGAATATTGCTCAGAGTCTCACATCAACATCAGTTACCTTAGACAGTGGAGCCGATGGCTGTACAGTCCTGCCGGATGGAGCAGGTGTCCGTAACTCGTGTGCAATCATTAGAGCTGAGTGTTGTGGAGCTGATAGTACTGGCATAGCAGGGCCTTGAAGCTGGGATGTCATTTGTATTCTCGTGTGCTGCTGTCAGAGTTCTCATTTGCTTAGGGTAAATGAGATCTTTTAAATGGTTACGGTCTCGGTGACCATGCAGCTGACCTGACTAACCCTTTGTTTTTTGTGTTTTTTTTCAGATAAGTGGACACGATGCACCCCAGACCGAGACAAGTTGAAGCAGCCTAGGAAGAAGGTTGTATTGGGTGTTGGATGAAAGATGTCAATTTTACACATAGAAGTTCTCTATCTTGTGCATTTTTGTTTTTTATTTTCCAGCTAGGGTGTGTAGTGCTCAGTGGTGCACCAACGGCAGGTGAGAGAGGGGGGCTCAGGCCTTTCTTTCTGGCCGGGACGGGCCGTCTCTGGCAGGCACGAGCGCCTGGGCACTCCGTGGGCAGCCAGAGCTTTCTGTGCTGGAACCTTTTCCCTGGGAGGAATCTTCATTTTTATGGGTTTTGGGGCGGGGGGGGCCAGCACCGGTGGCCCGGGGCTGACCAAAGGGATCAGCAGCCCTTTGCCCAGGACAGAAAGCCTGGGAGCTTTGGCTTTTTTTATCTTTATAAACAGCAAAGGTGTTTGTTTATTCGATGTTACTCATAATAAATTAATTGATTACTTACTTGCAATCCATGCTCTTTTGATTACAGTGCTTAATTTATACAACGGCCAGTGCTCCCACTCCCTCCCCAATGCAACCCAGGTCTCCCAGTCCCTCCCCAGTGCTCCCAGTCCCTCCCAAATGCCCCCAATCCCATCCCAGTCTTGTCCCCAGTGCTCCCATTAAAAATAAAATAAAAGTGAATTAATAAATATCTCCTTCCCAGTCCCCTCCCAGTGTCACTCCCAGTGCCCCCATTCCCCTCCCAATTCCCATACTGGTCACGCTGGAGTCGGTTCCGTTGCTGATTTGACCCTTTATTGACAACTGGACAAGGGGGTCAAAGGTCACTTGTGGTGGTGGGGGGGGTCTCAGGAAGTTCCTAGTGATAACTGGAGTGGGGTCCCAGGGGGCACTTGGGGGGGGGTCTCAGGGGGGTCCAGGAGTCATTGGAGGGGTCTTGGGGGGTTCCAGGGGGCACTGGGGGGGTCTCAGAGGCTTCCAGGGCACATGGGGGGGG